GCCTGGGGGAAGGAGTCGGGACGCGCAGGGGGTAGGCGGAATCGGGGAGCGCGGGAGGAAGTAGAGTCAGGATTGGGATTGGAAGGGGTGTGCACGTGCGCGGAGAAGAAGTAGCGCACGAAAAAGCAGAGCGCGCGCGAAGGAGTAGAGCGCGGCGGGAAAAAAAGAGGGGGGGGCGTGAAAAAGAAGAAGGAGAAGAAGAAAATTTAAAGAAGAAGAAGAAAAAGGAAGAAGAAGACACTGATGATGAAAAGAAGAAGGGAAAAAAAAAAGGAAAAAAAAAAAACAGGAAGAAAAAAAATAAAATTGTCGTTGATTACTTATCTGCGCGAAGGGAACGACGACGATGACAAGGATGGCGCGGCGTAGCGACGAGGACGACGGGCACGATGATGATGACGTGGCATGACGGCGGCGATCCCGTTGATGACTATGATGATGGGGCACAATGGCGACGATCTCGATGATGACGATGATGACGTTGCACGACAACGACGATCTCGACGATGATGTTGATGATGGTCAGGTGACGACGTCGAAGCAGGGTGGGTCGGGCGGGTTCGAACCGCTCCGATACCAGTGTAACGAGCGTGAGGCTGAGGGTGAGCCGAGGGAGAGGAGAGAGAGAGGGAGAGAGGGAGAGCACACACACACACTCACTCACTTGACACGACGGACTCAGACTGAGGGTCGGACGCAAACACAGTGGCAAGGCACAAAGTCGAAGTCTTGGATTCCAAATGTCGAAACAGCAAGTCACACCGAGTATGAGTACAACAGCAAAAAACTAGTACGAGACTGGTCCCCATACCGTACGGGGAACCGGTAAAAGTATCGGTGACATGTACGATACCAGGGGCATTTCGGCAAAGGCCCCGAGGGCAGAACTGAAAAATGCAGTATTTGAAAGTGGCGCCCAAATTGCAGCATGGCGCCAGTTGTCCAAAATCCTATGGTACCAAAGAAGGGGTTTGGAAAAAGGGTGCCAGACCGAAAACGGGATGCAACTGAAACAGCAAAAAGATAGACCAGGGATCGAGCCGTGGCGGAGTCCGTAACAAGTCCACTAAAAAACCAGTGTTAGGTTCCAACCACCGGAATAGGAGGGATGAGAGGAGTGGAAGGCATATTAGAACTATGACTAGTTAGTTTAGAACTACTTTAGAGGAGGAAAGATTATAAAGTCAGAGAAACGGGGAAGCTGTAGGTCAAGCAGCGTGGGATCTAATGCACCCTCGTCCCTAGGTAGTTTAGGAATGAAGTAGTAGAACTACAACAAGTTTTGTACGTGTGAGGAAGGGATGATTTTGAGAGTGCTTATTTTGGGAAAAAAATAAAATGACGGTTGAAAAAAAAATGTCTGCTTGGGACGGGGTCTTGGGTAGGTTTATTTGATTTGAAGTTATCGAGGTGAATGCTCAGTGAACAGATGTTGAGCTTGTTCTAGCAGTCCGATTTCGAGTGTTCCAGGTTGTTTGTTATGATTTATGACCTCATTTGGTCTTTGAATGGAATGCTTGTTTTTTTCGGGGAAAAAACAAACAAACAGCGTTGCAGGTTGGACACTCTCCACCAGCGGAGAGTGTTTTTCAAAGGAGGTTTGCGACAACTATCCGAGTTTTTTTTTATGGTGGAATAAGATAGTTAGGGGCTCGCCACACAACCTTTCGAAAGGAAGCATTTTCCAAAATTTGCCAGACAGAATTAGTGGGGGACGTTGGACTGGTCCTCGGGTGGAACGTTGGACAATTCGCAACCCTTAGTGAGTTTTCATGCTCAGAAGAATGCAAAAGAATTGACCGGTCCTCGGGTGGAAGTGGACCCCAAAAAGAAGTGGGCGACGTTGGACCGGTCCTCGGGTAGAAGCGGACCCTAAAAAGAAGTGAGAGCATGTGAACTGCAAAAGGGCCCTCAGGCCCAGACGTTGAGCCCCGTCTTCTCAAAACAGGGAGGTCAGACACAACGAAACAGACGTTTTGCAAGAGGCAACTTTGGCGATTTTCTATGCTCAGACGAACATGCAAAAAAATATGAAATTTTGAAAATCCTTAGATGAGGTCGTGTTCTTTCCAGGAGTAATAATATTACATTTACAAAAAATCATTTAGACTGCGAAATAATCGTCGCGCCAATTCGACACATTTTCTATTTTTGCCACTCTGCCATATCTGGGCCAACTAAAAAAATACTCCAAATTTAGTGAGTTTTTGTGCTAAGAAGAATGCGTGAAAAAACCTGAAAATTGGCGTACTCGTATATTTTGTTGTGATCTTTCTAGGAAAAACGCTAAAAAAATAAAATAAAAAAAATTCCAACTGTGAAATAGATCGCAGCCACAATTTGATCCATATCTCAATTTCGCCATTCAACATTTTTCTCTTTCTCTCTCTCTCTCTCTCTCTCTCTCTCTCTCTCTCTCTCTCTCTCTCTCTCTCTCTGGTACCCCCCCCTTCTCCCTCTCTCTTTATCTTCCT